TGAAGTCCCCCAGCATAACGAGGGAGTCCCCGTTAGGAGCGCTCTCCAGCACCTCCTCCAAGGACTCCAGAAATGGTGGGTAATCTGAACTGCTGTTAGGCACATAGGCACAAACAACAGTCAGGACCCGTCCCCCCACCCGTAGGCGGAGAGAGGCTACCCTCTCGTTCACCGGGGTGAACCCCAACGTACAGGCACCAAGATGTGGGGCAATAAGTATGCCCCCACTCCAGCTCGGTGCCGCTCAGCTTGGGAAACTCCAGAGTGGAAGAGTGTCCAACCCCGTTCGAGGAGACTGGTTCCAGAGCCAGAGTGGTGCATTGAGGTGAGTCCAACTATTATCTAGTCAGAATCTCTCAACCTCACACACCAGCTCAGGCTCCTTTCCCACCAGAGAGGTGACATTCCATGTCCCTAGAGCCTACTTCTGTAGCGGAGGATCGGACCGCCAAGGTCCCCGCCTTCAACCACTGCCCAACACACAATGTACACGACCTCTATGGCCCCTCCTAAAGGTGGTGAGCCCATGGCAAGGGGGACCCACGTCTCCTCTTTGGGCTGTGCCCGACCGGGCTCCATGGGTGAAAGCCCAGCCACTAGGCGCTCGCCAACGTGCGCCACCTCCAGGCCTGGCTCCAGAGTCGGGCCCCAGTGACCCGCGTCCGGGTGAGGGAACACTGACTCCATTTATGGTACTCATCAAAGGGGTCTTTGAGCTGCACTTTGTCTGATCCCTCACCTAGGATCTGTTTGCCTTGGGTGACCCTACTGGGGGCATGAAGTCCCTGACAACATAGCTCCTAGGATCATTGGGGCACTAAAACCTCTCCACCACGATAAGGTGGCAGCCCAAGGAGAGGGAGATAACAGTTTTACTGTTAAATGGGTAAAAGGACACACTGGCATTTATGTTAACGAGAGCTGACTACTTCACAAAAGCTGGCAGTCAGTCTCACTTCAAAGGACCAGTGCCTGTTGTAGGTACCTCAACACCAGTCTGTAGGACTGCCCTACAGGCCTGGATTAGACGTCAACACTCAATCCGCTGGAGGGAGCWRAYRGACTGTAGACAGGCACGGGAACTGATTAACAGCCCAAATCTAAGGTTTGGGAAAGCTTTCATCTCCCTGTCAAGGAAAACTCTAAGCACACTGGTTGGAGTCGTAACTGGGCACAATTTGCTCAACCGCCACAATTTGGTGATGGGACTCCATGACAATGGTCTGTGTGATGCCTGTGGCATTGAATTGAAGAACTCTTTGCACTACTTAGGTCACTGCCTGGCTCCGAGTAGTGAAAGAAAAATAATTCTTGGGGACCCCTTTATGGATCCCGAGAAGCTCAGAATATTGAGTGTTTCTAACCTTCTGTCCTTCATCCGAGGGACAGGAAAGTTTGAATAAAGACCAGTGTCTTTTTGGAGAGAGCAATGTGCCCACTTAGGAGGCCCCCACTCACATGGATTTTATATCGATTTCCACTAACATAACACCTCCAATATTAGCACTCCGATACAAGCAGTCCATTTCAGTAGTCTGCTCAGGATTTCTATCCAGCAGTACTTGGATCCAGCATAAATAACTTAAGTGTCCTTGAATAGTTATTTAACATTTTACAAAAGTACATTTAGTTCTTATTGGATTTATTGCACACCTCCCGACGACATCACTGGTTGAGGTCAACAGCACCCCACCTTCACTGAGCACAGTGCTAGTGAAGCGCTGCTTCCCCGGCCTCAGCTGCTGGATGGTTTGCCAAAATCTCCTCGGAGCTGATCGAGACTCCCTGTACAAGGTCTCACTGAAATCGTCCCACATCCTAGCTTCTGCTTTGGCAACAGCCAGGGCTGCAGCCCACTTGGCCAATACTCTTCAACTGACTCCGGAGTCCCACCTCCCTACAAGGCATGATAGAACTCCGTCTTTAATTTGACAACCTCTTTAACTCGGAGTCCACCACCGAGTTCGAGGATGGCCACCATGAAAAGCACTGGCAAACTTGCGGTCACTACTCAAAGCAGCCGCCTCAACAACTGACGTGCAAAACATGGCCCACTGAGGCTCAATGTCCCCCTCCTTGACTGGGATGTGATTGATCTCCGGGAGGTGTGAGTTGCCATGTGTTCCCAGCAAACCCTCACTACCCGGGTTTACCGGGTCTGTCAGGCATCTCCCCCTGCCATCTGATCTATAGTTCAGCTCCTCTCCACCCTAGTGTCCAAAACATGCAACTGCAGATTAGATGACACGACTACAAAGTCAGTCATCAATCTGCAAACTGTGACTAGCACAGCCGTTCCTCCCAATAACACCTCTCTAGATCACACTGTTGTTACCAACGAGGGCATTGAAGTCCCCCATGGGTAGAGACCCGGCCACCAGGCGCTTACTAACAAGCCCCTCCCCCAGGCCTGGCTCCATTGTGGGGCCCCACTAACCAACTTCTGGGCAAGGGACACCATGAGTCTGTTGAATCATTCTTTGTCTGGCCTGTCAGCTAGGACCAATCTGCCATAGGAGACCCTACCAGGTCAAAAAAATTGCCCCTGACTGCATAGCTCCTAGGATCATTCAGGCATACAAACTTCTCCACCACAATAAGGTGATAATTCAACAGAGGGGTAAACCATTTATTTTACAAATCACCATGAAGGCAAGAAGACTACAACTCAATTCTAGCATACTGTATAGCAAGTGGTGTTTTGAAGCCAGGAAAGTCCATCCAGTTCGGTCCCTGGTGGACCTGCAGCTGCAGTTAGGTTAGTTACAATGATTACCTGATAGGGGACTTGGGAATGTTATGTTGGGTGTTGCACTTTAAAAATTACATTAAATATATTTTTAGATATTTTATCAAACTTTTTGGGTTTAGACAAAAAGAAGTTCTTTTGTATTTTTAAATCAACCTATACAAACTAATTTCTGGTCCGAGTTTTTGGTCTGATATAGTGTCCAAGTCTGATGAGAGGGTGATTAAAACCAGCTGGTGAGCTAATTTTGTCTTCTGTTTCCAGAGCAAAGACTATCAAAAACACAGTGTCTGTTAACCTGGAGCTGACAGCCGAGGAGTGGAAGAAGAAATATGAGAAGAAGAAAGAAAAGAACAAGAGTCTAAAGAACATCATCCAGAAGCTGGAAGCTGAGCTGAACCGCTGGAGGAACGGTAAGAGGAAACTGATCAAAACAGCATCCAGAACAATTATTTTTACTTATTCTTTTTTTTTTTTTTTTTTTTTTTTTTGGTGATGAAGATTCTCAGTCATCCATGACAGAAGTCCAGTTTTTGTTTTGAACCTTTTTTGTAATTGTCTTTTGGCCTTTTCGAGGTTTATTACCTTACAGGAAGTGAAACAGGGTTATTGCTTACATTCTCATATATTTATTTTTCTTCATACTCTTCTGCTAATACTTCCTAATTCAGTTCTTTGCATTCTTTTTTATGTCAGTTTTGTTATTTAAAGTGATCCCCGATTAGTTGTAACATTAGACTTTATTTGATAAACATTTATTTTAACTGTAAAATAAAGACTGTAAAAATACTGTAGGCTGTTTAGTTTTGTACATTGTTAAAAATATATTTTAACATGGCCGGAGCCATTTTATTTACACACAAAGCATTCTGGGTAAATGATGACATGGGTAGGTCATCGGTGTGAGCGAGCTATATCCACCCTGAAGGTTAATCTTGGACAATATCTGATGATCGACTCTTTTAAATGAAACCAGAGAGCGTTGACAGAGAGGAGAAGGTAGAAATGACTCAGCCTGTAACTGAAAATATGGAAGAAGAATCACAGCTTAGCCTGTTAGCCTTTGTGCTAGCACTGATGCTATATTGCCTTATATGTATTAGCTCGGTGCTAGCGTGACAAACAAGCTAAACTGAGGTCCTCCATCCATATTTTCAGTTACAGGCCTGAGTCATTTCTACCTTCTCCTCTCTGTCAACGCTCTCTGGTTTCATTTAAAAGAGTCGATCATCAGATATTGTCCAAGATTAACCTTCAGGGTGGATATAGCTCTCTCACACCCTCACACTAAAGACCTATCCACGTCAACATTTACCCAGAATGCTTTACGTGTAAATAAAATGGCTCAGTCCGTGTAATATACAGTATTGTTAAACTTTTATTTTAAAAATTATAAAAACTAAGCAGCCTACAGTATTTTTACAGTCTTTATTTTACAGTTAAAATATACGTT